GGTCCTGGGATTGAGCCCTGTATGGAGCTCCCTGCTCAGCGGGGAGTCTGCTTCTCCCTCTGCCCCTCCCCCTGCTCATGTTCTCACTCTCTCTCAAATGGGTGAAATCTTCAAAATAAAATAAAATGCTATGATTCTGAATGGTTTCAAAAAAAAATAGAAAAATAGATTTTCAAGTCTCAGTCCATATGCAGGCCCTTATTATTAAGTGTAGCTGGACTTGTGAAAAGTGAAAATATCTCTGAGGAAGAAGAAATTTCAACTGTGTGGTGTGATATCTGTAGACACTTGACTAATATCTTTAATATATTTTTGGTGGTATTTGAACTCCTCATTAAAAAAGTGTATGATGCATTAGTTATTTTTTAAAAGACTAGTTCAACATAAACTCATCCAGAATTACTTGTTTTAACAGGTTACCCAGCTAATGAACAGCCTACCAGAGTGCCTTGTACTTTGTAGGTATACAAAATATTGTTGATGCAGTTTTGCAACTGAATGAAATTATTTACAAAATAACACATTCTTCTTGTATAATTTTATTCATGGGTCGTTTTCAATGAAAACATAAAAACAAGTATACACTATATACGTTAGTTTATTCAAAGAAATAAAGTCAAAAGAAACATGCCCCCTTGTGGTTACCTATTCCCACTTGCAAACCCTTCACCTTCTAAGTGGAAAGTAAATACAAAAGAGCGTTTTGCAAATGGTCAGCTTTTCACTGACAGCATTCTAAAGCCAATATACAATCTTCCAGTTTTAGATGGCAGAGGAAAACCAGATCTCAAAATTTCATTTCTGCATAATCTAAGATATGCACAACAAATAGGTTAAAGAAAAAAAACCAGAAAAATACACCACACAGTGGTTGTTAGCTAATGAAAAATACAAAGGCTCTTTTAAGGAGCATGGTGTGGGCTCTAGAAAGCTCCTCCTACTGACTTTCTTAATACTCTTTAAGAGGGAGAACTGAGGAAAACAAAAACCTGAAAAATCTTACCAAAGGAGAGTTGGTGACACAGAAATCTTTATAAAAATAGGAAGCCCATCCCTTCAGACATAAAAAATTGATTTGAGGCAGTTGCAGGAGCAGGGAGAGGCTGAGCCCAGAACCCTTAGGGACAGCCCAGGAAAAGTCCTCCTTGTCTTAAAGGTGCTCAAGAAGTGCGTCAACCCCACCTATCACATACCTGTCAGCAATTTTAAAGTAGAAACAACTGATGCCTGAACACAAGGTAAGACCTCTTGTATTACTGCCTCTCCTTAGAAGTGGCAAAAGTTCCAGATGCCCAAATCCAAGTAGAAATTGAGGAGGAATCTGAAGCCCAAGTTTATCCCTGGATGTAAAGGGATATCCCAGACATTATGAAGTTAACCCAGATGAAGACCTTTAATAGTTAACCCCGATGAAGTTAACCTAGATGAAGACCTTTAATAAAAGTGCAAGAGAGAACAGAGCCTAGTTTGGCCAATAGAGGCTGCACACAGGCCTAGCTGAGAAAAATTTCTTCCAATCCTTTACTCAGCCCACCCCATGCCCTCAGGCTATAGATGCTTCCTCCTCTGTGCCTCAGGGGTCAGCAAACCTTTTCTATAAAGCACCAGATAGTAAATATTTAGACATCCCAAGCCATGTGATCTCTGTCACAGCTACCCAGCTCTGCTATTGCACCAGGAAAGCAGCCACTGACACTACGTAATGAAGAAATGTGGCTTGGTTTCAATAAAATTATTTACAAAAATAGGAGATGGGCCAATTTGTAGTACACGCCATATTTGCTGACCTTTGCAGTGTCACTCATAAAATGAGGGGAAAGGATGGAGGTGGAGGAAAGGGGAATTTAGCTACATTGTAATCGCATAAATACGTTTAGACAAATCTTTACATGTTAAGTATCAGTAAATTAAGAAACAGGAAAAAAAAGTATAAAAAACAAGGGAAAATATACGTCAGCAAAAAATGATTAAAACTAATAGGGAAAAAATGTAGTATGCAAATGGCAGATGAAAAAATATCTTATAGTAGAAAGCAAACCCCTTGTACCTTCCCCCAGAGTGCTTTATAAGAGAATTTA